TTTTTTCTAAACAGTTGAAAGTCGATATATCGAAGTTAAATTAGAATAAAAAACACTATTAAAATCGAATGAAAATATAGAAAAATGAAAATATTTTTATAAAAATATCATTCACATCCATACAATTTTTAAAATAGGCCGGAGTACCTAGAATCAAACTGTCTATATATTTTATAGTATCCTTGATTGATTTGTTTAAAATTGGAATTTGGATACTAATCCGGAACTCTTACGTTGCTGCACTGCGTAAACAAATACGCGGAAACAGAACCACCATGTAAAAAAATTAGGAAGTTTTCGTTAACTTATGGTAATTCCGTTTCTACGAAAAAATTTCGGATTTTGATTGCCCCTTTTGCTTTTCGTGTTCGATTCTAAAATAAAGGCAAACAGGCGATAAAGTTCTGTGTACGTTTCTTAAAATGTCACACTCTAATCGGGCAAAAAAGACACATTCTATGCCCTTTTAAAGTTTGTCTGGTTGCTTGAAGCGAAAATAACTATACACTTGTACAGGGTTTAGTGTTATTACACCAAACCAATTTTGCACCTTGGAATGTAGAACCGACTGTCTTGGTAAATAATTAAAATAAAGTAAAAGAGAATGGAGGCAAAATGATTTATCAATGATTTATGGCGTTTTATGGAGAATAATTTTTAATTTTAAGCAAAGGCAACTGCTTAGTTTTTATGCATACGGCCCATTATTTCGAGAAAAGAATACGCTATTAAAGCATAGACAGATGGCAACGTTGATCAGGATTAACGCCGCAATTGATCTGATCAAAATTGTACCTTGACAGATGGCAGTAATGCGGACTAACGAGCCGCGAGGTGGTAGGTTCGAATACCACGGCCAGTAGAATATTCATTTAATTTTTTTTATTGATTCAATTATAACTTCTACATTTATTTTTATTTTTTTTTTGTTAGTTGCTTTTGACTTTTTTAGTAAAATTAAACTCCTAAAATTTAAATTAGCTAATAGTAAAATAAAAAATGTGAAATAAAATAAAACAAACGGATATAAAATAAATACCAATTAAATATATAAATCAAATAAAATTTAGAAAAATAAAAGAAATAATAAAAACAAAATTTTTTGGCAGTCGCTCCAACCGAGGATCGAACATGGGACATCCAGGCTTGTAGTACGCAGCTCTCACCACTCGGCTACCGCGGATGGAGGGATCCCCTGCTTTATTTGCTCAGTTAGCATAGAACACAAAGAAACTACAAAATTAGCATAGACATCCACCCTGTCGTCGGTAATGCAGTCACCGAAATAAGTTCTTATTCATTTTAAATTGAATTCCTATTTAAATTAGTATGAGTGACTGCATTACCGATGAAAGTTATATGTCCATGCTAATTTTGCATTTTCCCTGTATTGTACGCTCTCTGAGTGTTGGTCAGTGTTGTCATCGAAAATGCCCTTGATCCGAGTTAAGCTTGGGAATTAACTTTAGCACTTAATCCGGATCAACTGCAGTTAATTCCCGAGATAATTCCGAATTAACGAGTTGATCCGGATCAACGCTGCTGTCTGCTTATGCTTTTAGACAGAGTTTAGTAAGTATAGTGAAACAGTGAAAAATTTTCGTTCGGCTTTTCATTTATTGTTTTCTGCGGTGGATAATTTCCCAGTATTCAGATATAAAATTAAAAATATAGATATTAATTAAAAATCTTCTCTCTCCATTAAAACAAAACAAATTTAAAACAAGTAAAAAAGTCTAAGTTCGGGCGGAGCCGAACATTAAATACCCGGCGCAAGTATTAAATATATGTTTTTCACCTTTCCGAAAGCTACCGCTACATGGTAAACCGAGGTGTATCCATTTTGAGTAAATTAGCGTCCTTAAATTTCGAAATATTGAAGTTTCAAGCATATCTGAAATTTACTGTTATATGAAAAGCGGCCGTAATTTTAGTTCGATTTCAATAAGTTTCAACGTTTTGCTTCTATGTGGCAAGTACAATAACCACACCGAGTTTGGTACAAATTGGTAGAACGGTTACCGAGATACATATATGTGATCATAAGTGGGCGGTGCCACGCCCATTTTTCAAAATTGTATCCTAACGTATTTCTTGGTAACGAATTGTTGCAAGCATCAATTTTGAATAAATTAGCTTCAATAATTACTGATTTATCGAAGATTTCGTATTTCTCTAAATTACCGTTATATGGGATTATTGTCATATTTTAAAAATTTTCGGCCATTTCGTATGTTATACCAACGTTAACAACTGTGCCAAGTTTGGAAGAAATTGGTGCAGCGGTTACCAAGATATACACATGTAAACATAACTGGGCGTGGCTACGCCCATTTTCCAAAAATTTATAATATTCTTATTTTTCGTCTAAAACTTATTGTAAATATCAATTTTGAGTGAATAATCTTCAGTAGTTACGAAACTATCGCAGTTTTCGTATTTCTGAAAATTACCGTTATATGGGAAGTGGGCGTGGTTATTGTCCAATTTTTAAAATTTTCGGCCATTTAGTATTCTGTATCAAGGCCAACAACTGTGCAAAGTTTGGAATAAATTGATGCAGCGGTTACCAAGATATACACATGTAACCATAAGTGGGCGTGGCTACGCCCATTTTCAAAAAAATGTTAATATTCTTATATTTCGTCTAGAATTTATTATAAATATCAATTTTGAGTGAATTATCTTCAGTAGTTACGAAACTATCGCAGTTTTCGTATTTCTGAAAATTACCGTTATATGGGAAGTGGGCGTGGTTATTGTCCAATTTTTAAAATTTTCGGCCATTTAGTATGCTGTATCAAGGCCAACAACTGTGCAAAGTTTGGAATAAAATGATGCAGCGGTTACCAAGATATACACATGTAACCATAAGTGGGCGTGGCTACGCCCATTTTCAAAAAAATGTTAATATTCTTATTTTTCGTCTAAAATTTATTATAAATATCAATTTTGAGTGAATTATCTTCAGTAGTTACTAAAATATCGCAGTTTTTGTATTTCTGAAAATTACCGTTATATGGGAGGTAGGCGTGGTTATTGTCCGATTTTGCCCATTTTCAATACCATCCGTCCTACGCCCGAAAGAAGTGCACATACCAAGTTTCGTTAAGATATCTCAATTTTTACTCGAGTTATCGTGTGCACAGACGGACAGACGGACGGACGGACGGACGGACGGACAGACAGTCACCGCTTAATCGATTTCTCTTTTCATCCTGATCATTTATGTATACATTTGTCTATATCTATCTCGATTCGTTTTGCCTGTTACAAACAACCGTTATGTGAACAAAGTTATAATACCCTTGTGCACAAGTGCGCTCGGGTATAAAAAACCCCGACCGGCTTTTGTCCTATATGAACTCATTCAGTAAGCCTTCCCGTAATTTCAGGCCCGTAGATTAGATTATGTACATTAGATTAAATTTAGAGGAATGAGCAGGTCTCCTAGTTACCGTGACCGAAACGATCTATTGTAACAAACCTTCTTCTTCTCTGAACCACGTATTGCAATGAAACCTCGCGAGGTCCTCGGCTGAATGCCATTTAGATCGTGTGCTTCTAGGTACAGTGATCCTAGGAAGCGAAATCTAGTACTAGTGAGGGCTTTATAATGGTCTCTGCTGTTTCCTGTTCTTCGTGACACAACCTACACTGGTCAGAGTTAACAACTCGTATTTTGTTACCATAAAGTAGCCTGTAAGAAAACCTGTAACAATTCTTCCTGGGACTGTGTTCCGGTACACATATAAGTTAAATCCTCTTCCTAGAGGCGATAAGTGGCAATCCTACATCAGCTCTGAGGTGACCTCGTACGCTTTAAGAGCCGCTCTCCCCTCCTCCAATATAGTAGATGTGTTTTTTTGGTTGCCCCACTTCCTACATACTGCCTCATATATAGTTCAATGGCGGGAACCCTTATTATCCCAGTAATTTGATCGATGCCGATTATGAT